TCCCCTTCCTTAATCCATTTATGTCTTGACTTTTGCCTCCATGAAATTTCCTCTCTTAAAATGACCTCTTCCAAATCCTTCTTTAGGTTTCTTCTTAACACCCTTTCTTGCTCACTCATCATCCTTTGGGCTTCTTTGGAATCTAATTCCTCAATCCTAGACAATAAACTAATTTTTTGCTCCTCTACTCTTCCAAAATGTTCCCTGTTCCACTCCTTAATTTTAGATCTCAACCTCTTCAGCTTTTTGTGGAATCTCACTCCCTTCCATTTCACCCCTCTTAACTCTTCTCTCCACCACTCCCCAATCAGATGCACAAAGTCCGAGTGAGTCAGCCACATATTCTCAAATCTAAAAGGCCATGGACCAGAGGTTATTGTTTCAGGGCTTAGCTGAATAGGGCAGTGATCAGAAGTGACTCTAGGTAATGCTCTAGCCATCAAGTTTCTCCAATGACTCTCCCAATCTTCATTAAAGAGGAATCTATCTAATTTCGAGCAAAGTGGGTTTTCTTGGAAACTAGACCAAGTAAAGTTGGCTTGTAAGAAAGGTAATTCCTTTAGGTCACAGTCACTAATAAATTCATTGAACTTTCTCATTCTGGTAGTAACTGTTCTTTGGGAGTTATTAGTTTCATTACTGAACCTAATTACATTGAAATCCCCCCCAAGGCACCAAGGACCCTCCCATAAGCCTCGTATTCCATACAACTCTTCCCACATCTCATTCCTCTCTCTATAAGTGTTTGGCCCATAGACACTGGTTAGAACCCAAGTAAATCCATCCCCCACATTCCTGACCTTTACAGACACAGAGAATCTCCCTATTAGCTCCTCCACTAATTCTACCACATCTTCCCTCCATAATGTTACTAGACCTCCAGAGGCTCCCTAGGAAGGGGCCAATGTCCAACAAACTCCTCTTGATCTCCATACACTTCTCACCCACCTTTTATCCATTTCTGCCAACTTGGTCTCCTGTATCAACACTATGTCCAGTTTCTCTCTTCTTAGTAAGTCTTTGATGGCCCTTCTTTTTCTTTCACTTCCTAGTCCTCTCACATTCCAGTTGATGATTTTCATTGAACACTTCTTTTCAAAAAACCCTTCCCAAAAAATTCCACCTTACAGCAGAATCTTTCTTCTTTCCCCTCTCCCACTAAATTCAATGTCACCCTCAATATTTGAAATCAATGTCTCCACTTTTGATCTCTTTTTCAACTTCCTTTCTTATGGTTTTATATTTTTCCAAGTCTTTTACATTTTCGGTCTTCTGCCAATATTTATGACATGCTATATTACTTTGGTTATATTTTGAACTTTTTCATTCTAGCACCAAGTTTCTTTAGCATTTTGCCATTTCCCTTTAGATTCTCCTAAAATATCTTGTGTTACATTCTGATGCAAATATGAAAGCAAAGGAAGAAATGGAAGTCAAGGTTGAATGGTAACTTGCAGATAGAGGTGTAAATTGGGCCATGCTGGGCCAGCACGGCATGGCCCGCATGCGGTCCCTACAAAGTGTGGGTTGTGCTTCCCTCCCCTGGGATATTTTGGGGGGTAGGCATGGCACGACCCACGACTCGAGCCCACACAGTAGGGGTGAGGATTCAGTTTTTTCGGTTCAAAACCAAACTGAAAAAACTGAAATTTCAAAAACCGAATCAGCTAAATGACAAACTGAACCGAAACCAAAATAATGGAAAACCGAATAAACTGAATCGGATTTTTTTTTTGGTTATTTCGGTTCTAACCGAAATATTTTTCGTATTTCGGAATGCTGGGACTTTGGACTTCTGGAGAAGAAGAAGAAGAAATACTTGTTGGCTGTTGTAAGCCTGTAAACTGGCGGTGAGGGAGTGCCTGAGTGCAAAGTGCTTGCCTGAACAGTGGCAGACGAAGAACTCTGTTTGGGAGGATTCTCGAATCTCGATCTCTACCTCTCTGGAATGGTGGAGTCTAGTCTTCTCTTGGCTCTTGCTATGGAGTCAACTGGAACAGCCGAACAGATGATGAGGAAGACGAAGTGTCGAACTGGAAACTGGAGTGGAAAGTCTGGACTTTGGAATGGAACTATGGTCTATGGAAGTCTCAACTCTCAGGTCTGTATTTTGGAACTGGTCCACTGGAAGCGCCGCAGTGAGGAAGACGAAGAGACAAAGTCTCTCTCTTTCTATTTTTGAATTGCTTGTTTTGGAATTTGCCAATTTTGACTTTACATGATAAGTAATAACGTGAACGTGTCTAATACGCTAATGTAATGTATGTGGAATTGCCTACTTTTTATGCTAATTCGATTAATGGTCGATCTTTCATTCCATATATAACTATATAAGTATATGTATTAATTAATTAATATTAATTCCATATATAATTAATTCGGTTTTTTTGGTTAACCAAATTGGAAAATATGGTAACCGAAACCGAAAACCAAAATGAACAAAAACCGAATAGAATAATCGAGCCCGACCGAAAAACCGAATAGGCCGAACCAATTAAACCGAAACTGAAATTTTGGTTCGGTTTTTCAGTTTTAACCGAATTATGCTCACCCCTACCACACAGACCTGTGCCACATTGTGTCGTGTCGTGGGCCGGGCTGGTCCGCAGGTCGAGCCTTGGGCCAAGCCGGGCCATAGACCAAGCCAAGCCATGTTTTTTTTTATTTTTGAAAAAATAAAAAATTAACATAAATTAAAAAATATATACAAAAAATTAAAAAAGAAGATTTTAAAATTTTATTTTATATGAATTTTGATGTATACAATTGTTTATGTATGCAATAATAAAATGAAATAATATAATAAATTGAAAATAAAAGTATACACACACACACACATTTCTGATTTTAATACAATATACTATACCTTACCTTTCTCATATAAATATAATAATAACACTTATTTCTTCACTTCCCCATTGTCAATCATGCCCAACTTTCCAGTGTATATTGTAGTTGTCTTGAACCCACTGTTGATCGGTCTTCACAAAAGGAATGCAAACATCATCAAGAACAGCTTTCTCTCGTGTAAAGCATCTATCCACCTCAATGTGCTTGGTTCTATCAGATTGTACAGGGTTATATGCAATATTTATTGTTGCCTTATTATCACAATATAGTAATAGTAGCATTTGAATAACTTATACCCAACTCCAACAAGGACCTCAACCAGAGGACCTTAGATAAACCATGTATCATTGCACAATACTCAGCCTTGGCATTGGAACTTGCAACCACATTTTGTTTTACCTTTCCAAAGCACCATGTCCCCCCCCCCCCCAATAAATGTGAAATATCCTGAGGTAGATTTCCTATTGTCTAGAGATCCAAGCCAATCTACATTAATATAAACCTCGAACTTTGGATGGTTATTCTTCCTGTATAAGATCCTTTTACCTGGACTCCCCTTCAAATAAGGAAGGATTCTATCAACTACAGCCATATGAGATGTATGAGGAGCATGCAATTATTGACTCACCACACTAACAGCATAAGAAATATTTGGCCCAGTCATGCATAGATAGAGTAGTCTCTCCACAAGCCTTTGATACATTGCATGGTCCTTTAAAGGCTCCCTCGCAATAGCACAGATCTTATTTCCAAGATCATCATGTTTGTCTGCAGGCGTCAGTCCTAGCTTCCCCATATCTTTAAGTCCAATACATACTTTCTTTGTGAAATATAAATACCATGCTTTGATTTGGTGATCTCAATATGATGAAAATACTTCTACTCCTCGAGGTCCTTAATCTCAAATACTAAGGCCAAAAACTATTTCAGATATGCAATACCCTTTGTGTCAATGCCTGTTACTACAATATCTTCAACATATACAATAAGAATGGTAATCAGTTGGCCATTCTTCTTCCTGAATAGAGTATGATTTGATAGGGACTGCTCAAAGCCAAATCTCTGAAAACGTCTCTTGAATCTATCAAACCAAGCACGCTGCTACTGCTTCAAGCCATACAATGCCTTCTTGAGTTTGCAAGCCATGCTTTCTTTATCCTTTGTGTAAAAACCTAGGGGTAACACCATATACACCTCCTCATTAAGATCCCCATTCAAAAACACATTCTTTACATCAAAATATCAAATTGCAAGAGTGGCCAATCAAAATGAACTTCCAAATATAACAAAATACAAAAGAGGACATCTTTGCAACTCCTAATCTACTCTGTAAGTCTAAGTCTATCCATTTGCTTCTGATCTGGCCTTCTACCTTTCAATACTCCCATCCGACCTTTAGTTAACTATAAATAACCACTTGCAACCAACTGGAGTCTTTCTCCCTTGGTAATTCAACTATCTCCCATGTCTTATTTCTTAGCAAAGCATTCATTTCATTCTCCATTGTTTCCCTCTACTCAGGTATTTGCATAGCTTCAGTCACTGACTTGCGAATGGTAACAGAAGAAATAGAAGCCAAGAAGGAAAAATATCCAGGAGAGAAATGAACATAGGAGAGGTAAGAAAACAAATTGTCAGCAGTAGAAGAAGATGATGCATGTCTATTCCCTTTCCTAAGTGCTATAGGGAGGTCAAAGCAGAAAAACGAGCAGTAACAACCTCAGGAGTAGTAATAACAACATCAGAAGCAGAAGTGGTACTAATACTTACTTATGTTGCCAGTAGTAGGACTGACTTGAGGAGGCTGTAATGATGCAGCCCTTCAATCTTTATTATATACTAATAATGTGAAAATTACAAAAGACAACTCTATGACATATTCGGCATTTTCAACATTAATGAACCAGTGGGTCTGTAATTTCTACATTCTTTTGATTTTAACTTCAATTGAAGCCAAAAGATGAACCACACAATGAAATCAAAAATATAAAATTCTTTTCTATTAATGCTGGTAGATATAGAGAAAGCAATGGTTTTATTTACTTCGCATTTTGCGTAACCTTACACATTTGCTTATATATGCTTCTTGCTTTAATTCCTTCTATGAGGTAATGTTACAATGAGTATTATTTGAAATTTGTTTGAATCAGGCAAATGTGAAGCCTTCAATGAACTTATTAGCCATTTCTGTTGGAATAAAGCAAAAGGAAGTTGTCAATCAAATGGTTAAGAAGGTGATAACCCAAACTGTTATCCTTTCCTGCTTGCAATCTTAACTGTTCATCTCTGGTTAATTCTTTCTCATGTTCAATTTTGCAGTTTCTTTCAAGTAACTTTGTTATAATGCTTTTTCATTATGATGGTGTTGTGGATGAATGGAGGGACTTAGAATGGAGTGATCGTGCTGTTCATGTTTCTGCAATTAATCAAACTAAATGGTGATGATGTCTGATACATACAAAAACATTGACCCATAATTATCAACTAAGGACATTAGTATTTGCATGATTAGTTGTATATTGGTAATTATCTGACATTTCTGCATCTTGTGATTGAAATAGGTGGTTTGCCAAGCGTTTTCTACACCCAGACATAGTTGCTGGATATGATTACATTTTTGTTTGGGATGAGGATATTGGGGTTGAAAATTTCCACCCAGGACGGTATGTATTGGGTATTGTTCTTGATTGGTAAATGAGCTTGTTTATAAATGGTAAACATTGTATAGATTTGGGAAAACGATCCGAGGAAGAAGCTACCTCAGAAGTGGGATCTGTTCACAACAAAAATTGTACCAACATGATCTGTGTCCACACATCTCACCACGAGGCTGGGACCCACCATCTCTGCGATGTGTGGACACAGATCATGTTGGAACGTGTTGGAACATTTTTCTATTATGAGCAGATCCGGATGAACCTTGAATATCCTTAGCAAGAGTCTGCCATCTTTTCTGTTCCTGTTAACTTGGCAGTGATGTAGGGGCCAAGTGGTCAGCTATTGGTCATGTCATTATTTAATTGTGCTTGAACTTCTATTGCTTTTAATAAATTAGTTTAGGAGTTAGCTTTCTTTGGTTTAAAGGAAGCTAGTTGTAAATTTATAATTTTGAGTTTCCTAGTTCTAGTCTAATCCTAAGTAGGGCTGGCTGAGCCTAGGTTTATGCGGTATGCATATATAGAATAATTCTAAGTGCCTATTAAAATGATATCAGGTTTTTTTCTTTTGTCTCATCTCTTTCATTTTCTTTTATCCAACTTTATAAACAGAAGTTACAGCTATCATTATCCATCAGATGTTGGGGGAAAAGCATTGCTATATCAATTCTTTAGGGCATACCATCCCATATTCGTTCTTTTGTTCCTCTCTTCCAATATAATCCAAAACTGCTTTCTTACTATACCACACTACATGATCTTTCATTCTTGGTAATGTGAAGGAGCTTTTGAATATAGTTTCTGCATCAATTGGAGAATTCTACTTAAACTCAAAAAGGAAAAGAACCACTTCCAAGTAGTAACAAAAAATGGATAGGGCATCCATAGCACCCTATTGCTTTCACGGTTAAGGATCTTGAAATAATTGCTTTCAGGAGTAACAAGATTCACTACAAATCACTCTCTTAACTTTTGAAAATAGACAACTTAACCCCTTACATTGAACTTATCTTTTAACATGTTCAGAAAAGTGCTTAGAAAATTTTACATGTTGTGATTGTTTTGACTGAATTTCTAAAGAATTTGAGCCCCTATCAAGCATCCAAGCTCTCAATATGGTTTTACATGGAAAATTGGCAATAGGTTTTCACCTGAAGCATGAGCCCCTATCAACTCCCCAACTAAGTGCCACATGAAACTGGGTGTATGTGTGTGAATTGGCTCATGTGCCAAGGGAAGTGTAAAGTGGTATTTTTATAAAACTAACAAGATGGTGTTTTGTATTCTGCTGTTGTTTTACCCCTCAAAGTAATTAGTTCGTGAATCTTAACTCTTAAAGGTACTAATAAGGCAATGTTCACCCTACAACATTTTTTAATATAATCACACCCTTTTTAGTAATTTTTCCTTTAAAAATGCACAAGTGGGACGATAATTTATTTGATGAAAAAATGGTTATAAATTTGAGATTCTGCAAGACAGCTATGAACCATTTCTTCTTTTTTTCTTTTTGCCTCTAAGGATTTCTTCCCTGTTTCTTCAGTCTTCTATAATAGGGCTTTATACCTTTTTCATTCTCTTCTAATCAATTGTTCAGCTATTGATAAAACAATAAAATGAAATTGTTATTTTTTCAATGTGTTCTTTAGCTATTTATCAATCATTAAAGATGAAGGACTGGAGATATCACAGCCAGCACTTGATCCCACTAAATCAGAGGTGCATCATCAAATTACTGTTCGTGGGAGGAAATCAAAAGTGCACAGGTTATTTTATTATATTTTTCAGGACAAATATCTTCTGAATCAGTAAAATCTATGATATCAGTACTATGGATAGTAATTACCATCTATGAAATATGATTATTCAATTACTTGTCTCCTGTTACAGACTGTATAATTAAAATAGGAAGATGTTACAGACTGTATAATTAAAATAGGAAGTAAATACTAGGGAGATATGATGTTATAGACTGTATAATTAAAATAGGAAGTAAATACTAGGGAGATGTGATGTTATAGACTGTATAACTAAAATAGGAAGTAAATACTAGGGAGATATGATTTACCTTGATTGTAGGACAGATTTGTAGGAATTTGATTAGTCTTCTTTCCTAATATATTCTTTCCTAACATAGAATTTGTAACT